TATGCATAGTAGTGTGGTATAACAAATAGAGATTTGAATGTTTTTATATTTTATCGCAATTTTAGTTATAAAAAATATCATGCATATAAATCTATATACATACACATGTTCATTGTATATACGTACATACATATGTACATATTTAAATATGCACCTGCGCACACGAATTATAACTGCGCACACGAATAATTACTTCCAAGTCAATATTAACATTAAGTAGTTTTGTTCAATTTTTAAAATTTATTAATTTTTTTTATAATTACTTTTGGACTTGATTCGTTGCTAATTTTATTGCTGTTTTGTTGTGAAACGATAACAAGTCTTTGCCATTCATTCGTTTGCAATTTGATTTTCATGGGCATTTAGTCAAAAACAAGCTTAACTTGTTCTGCAGATTTGTAGGTGAAATAAAAAAATAAATAAAACAAATATTATATTTATTTAAAATAAAATTATAAAAAGTAAGCAAGATTAAAAATATTGGAATAATTTGTAGTAAATATCAATATATGTAAATTATTATATCAAAAGACAAAATTAATTTTTACACCGGTCAACAAAAAAAAAATTTTTTTTGGCTAACACTGAAATTTTTATTTTTAGCTTTTAAAGTTTGCCTGATACGCATGGGCCTGATTCGCCCATACGAACATAAAATAAATATGAAAAAATTTCTACAAAAGCAGACAAAAAAAAAATAAAAATTTTTTTCCCTTATTTTCGGTATAGGAAAAACTGAAATTTAACATTCAGAAGTCGGCGGCAAAAATTATGTGTTATGTGTTATCGGCGATGGCGGAGGTGTGAGCCGGTACATTGTCATGATGTTTTACTACTTTTTCGCCGCCAAATTGCAAGTTCAGCATAGTAGAGCTATTTGACCGTTTTGCTCTTCTCAAAGTAGTGAATGTAGATCCCAATCTGTGAATACCACGCTGGGTCCCCTTTCCGGCCGATAGAACAGTCATCGCCTTCTTTGTTGTTAGTTCGTAGAGTAAAGTCCACTTGTTCGTCTGTTGCCCTCTGGTGTGTATAAATAACATAGATCCATGTTTCGTGGACGGCGCCGTAACGAGGCAGGGAATTCTTTGAATTGCGTTTAAACAGCATGAAACACGGTTTTGTAGTGTTTTTACAGTTAAGCTTGTTGTACGGAGAGTGCAAACGCGGTATTCAATGTGCGGAAAGCTTTCGCATGACTAATATTTCATGTACGATATGATCCACACCGTCTTTTGAGAGGCCTATTGCTCTGCTCTCTAAGCGCACCTTCACTGATGGTCTGCCAATACGAGATCGTCGACTTTCCTAACGTTATTCTCTGTGTTAGCCATTTTAGGCGCACTTCTGCGCGATTCATTAAAACAGACGTTCGGCCACGTTGAAACTCGAAAGTCACATTAAGACGTCTACAGATTTAGCAAGTGAAATGGCGATACAGCGCTCACAAATTGTGTAATCACTTTCTGTAGCTAATGGTAGACGCCAAAAAACTATGAACAAGGTAACGCTTGCGCCCTTAACCAGAGTTAATAAATATTTTACGCTTCAACCACAAGCAGTCAAGCCCTACTTCACGCTAGCTGTTGGTGATTTTTTATGTTAATATTTTCAGAAATGAATTTCACGTCAAAAATGTAGGAATGCGCAGCTCGCGCTCTACTCTTCGCCGCACCTTATTTGCATTCAGTCATCTTCAAAACGAGTGCTGCAGCGCTGCAACTGCAGGTGGGTTTGCTAAGCGGCAGTAAGCGCTAGCGGATATTTCCAGCTTTTCCACAGACAATTTTTTATAGCTACGAACAGGTTTGGTCGGTTGAATACTTTGTACGTTATTTTTTCTGCTTTTTTCCTTTGAAATCTCAAGCGACTTATTGGCACATTGTCGTCGCCAACATCCGATCCAGTTCAGTTCAGCGCGACGTTGACATATACAACACATAAAACTCGTCATCAACTGCAGTGCTGGTGGCACGACGATCATGATAGCGTTTTATCAAACACAAGCGCACATATATCGAGCATAATTTTCTATAGCGCTGCGGCGTGGACTCATGCCACATTGCAGTTGGGTCAGCACGTACGGAATGTGGTTCCAGCGAATTAAGCGCAGCGAAAGAAAAATAAATGTCGAAAAACGTATAAAATAGTAGCTGTAGTTTTGTCGCAAATCTGCGCAGATGCTGTCAATACCATCCGCATACGCTCATATACGGCTTGGTCCAATCCGCGCAGTAGAAACTTGTTGTGGATGCGCGCGCGCTTTTTGTTAGACGTTTCAATGGACACATCAATAGTAGCCAAGGCGGGTGCGCGCTTTGTCGTTGGCCGTATTGAAGCGCTGGAATGTGGTAATGCCATCGGCAGCCGCCGGCATAAACAACAGTGGCACTCGAGTCTTGTTTAGCATCCTCGGTTGCATGCTGCGCATTGCTAAATACAGCGTCTCAGCAGCGCGCCGATATTGTTTGCCTCAGGTGTTTGTTGAGAAATTATTATTGATGTTTAGATAATTTCAAATTTGACGCTGTGCAAATGAAAAAGATTTGTGCATAATTTGCTTTTCTGCTTTTAGAGCCACAAATTAGTCGAAGACGTAACTTTGCTGGCATATACATACACATATATACGAAGAAAATTTCGCAGAAAGATCTGGAGATGGACAATTGGTGCCATCGCAACGAAAGTTTTTGAGTTCTAGGCTTTGAATTCCAACCTAGGCATAGTCAAAAATGAGTAAAAGCAGTTTTCAGTCTAGATCGCAGCTCGAAGAGAAAAATAAAGTCCTCGAGTATATTTCAGTTGTGCTGAGACATCTTAAGACTTTTAAAGTCCTCCATTCTACGGATGACCTCCAAACGAGCAGTGAGCTTGCGTAAACCCTAGCAGACTTTAACTCTTACTAATTATTTGTGTTTCTGAAAACTCTTAGTCGCTAAAGTTCAGACATAAGAGAGTCGGCATTTCGACTTTCGGTTAATTCAAGTTCTCAATATCGTTCTCAGTATTGTAATACGTATAAGTAGAAGATGACAAAAAAAAGTGGAGTAGTCGGAGTCAGAAGAAGACGACGATATGGGTTTCGGTCTCCTCGTTCCTACCACTTTAAAGTCAACTGTTGCCGTCGAACATTTGAAGAATGCGTTAAGTAAGCATCAAAGTCGCTTGTGAAAGTTTCCCTCATTCAAGAAAACTTTACTA